CTGTCATTCATAAGGAGTAAAAAAAAAGAAACGAAGTGACTTGCAGAGAGGGAGACAGTAAATGTAGTGGTTAAGAGCTCTAGGTCTGGACACACCACTAATGTTCCATAATTGTCTCTTCATCTGCCGGTACTATAGTCTTATGGTATGTTCTCATAACTGTAATGATGCTGGTTTATAACTTCCTGATTCTGATGCTGACTCTGCTACTCACTGGTGGGGGACTTTGGCTGTGTGACTTATCCTCACTGAGCCTCTGAAGCTCACCTGCAAAACAGGGAAAATTATGATCCCTGCTGTACCAAGTCATTTGGAGGACTGAACAGGAGGATGGAAAGGACTTAGCACAATGCCTGAACATAATAAGCGCTCAGTAAATCCTCCAGTGAGGGGAGCACAGGTTGAAGAATCAGGCTACCGTGGATATGAACCTCAGCTCGGCTCTGCCACTTGTGGCTGTGTGACTCCGGCCAAGCCAATTAACTCTCTGAGCCTCATTTCCTCCTGGGAAAAAACCCGAAGATCATAAAACCTCCCCTGTAGGACTGTGGTAAGGATTAAATGACATGTTTTGATGCCCAGCACAGCCCACGTGGGAATTTCCCTTCCTCACCCCTTGACTTTCAGCAGCACTGGCCTTGCCAGCGCCCCGGCTGGAGTTGATCCCACTGTCCATTTGTTTGGCATCTGCACCTGGACTGCCAAGTGCGGCTGGAGAAAGTCAACCGGGCCATGTGAATGGCTCCTTGCAAATGACACGTCAGTACTGGAAAACATCAGTGAGGCTCTTCTGCTCTTAGACAGTCCTTCCATCTCTCTCCAGGGCACTTCCTCTCATGTTCCACACTGGCTGGTCCACATCTTTTCCACCACTGATGCCTTAGCCTCAGAAGTTGACCTCAATGCTCTCTTGATCAAGGTCATCAAATATAAACACCTTTCTCTCCAACTCCCAACACCTCCTTCCATTCCGCTCTTTCCATCCTTCCAGCTTAAAGGTTGGAGCGTCCCTCTCCTTCCCAAGGCTTTAGAATTTACTCCATCTCCCCAAAACCCCATTTCCAGTACTTTTTTTCCATTGGCTGCACCATCTCAGCCAAAAAAAAAATTGCTGGGCTCAGTGGCTCACGCCTGTAATCCCAACACTTTGGAAGGCCAAGGGGGGTGGATCACAAGGTCAGGAGATCGAGACCATCCTGGCCAACATGGTGAAACCCCATCTCTACCAAAAATACAAAAATTAGCTGGGCGTGGTGGTAGGCGCCTGTAATCCCAGCTGTTGGGGAAGCTGAGGCAGGAGAATGGCTTGAACCTGGGAGGTGGAGATTGCAGTGAGCCAAGATTGTGCCACTGAGCTCCAGCCTGGTGACGGAGTTAAGACTCTGTCTCAAAAAAACAAAACAAAACAAAAAAAACTTGCTCGAATATCTGAACCTTCTCCAAGTCTGACAGTGATGCAGCTGCTTCTTTATATTTAACCTACTCATTCACTTGTCTACTCATTTAATAAACTTTTTTTTTTTGAGACAGGGTCTCACTCTGTCACCCAGGCTGGAGTGGAGTGGTGTGATCACAGCTTGCTGCAGCCTCAACCACCCAGTCTCAAGAAATCCTCCCATCTCAGTCTCCTGAGTAGTTGGGACTACAGATGGGCAACACTACGCCTAGCTAATTTTTTTATTTCTTGTAGAGATAGGATCTCACTATGTTGCCCAAGCTGGTCTCACACTAACTCCTGGGCTCAAGTGATCCTTCCACCTTGGCCTCCCAAAGTGCTGGGATTATAGGTGTGAGCTACCGCACCCAGTCAAGAAACATTTGTTGAGTGCCTACTATGTGCTAGGCATTGGGGGTACAGAGATGAATAGAGACCATCTTTGCCCTCAATGTCTTCAAAGTCCAGAGGGAGAGTCAGACTCACAAGCAGATGATGGTAATATGGCAAATGAGATGCAAAGATGGACCATGCCTGACACAGAGATTAACTAGGCATGTGATGAGAAGAAGAGGGAACCCCAAGGTGAATCTCAACTTCCTGGTTGGTGCAAATGGGTGGATGGTAATGCTGTTCACTAAGACGTGAGACAAGAAAAATGGAAAGAGGAGCTAGGTATCGGGGAAGATGGTGTGTTCTGGCTGGAGTATGATGAATTTGAGATACTATTAGAACATCCCAGTAGAAATCTCCAACAAATCTTTAGCTTAGGGGAGAGAGAAGTCTGAACTGGAATTAGAGAGTGGAGAATCATCAGCATATGGGAGCTGGAATCATGCATGTTTATGAGGTGCTTACTGCTTCAAGTAACAGAGTAATTACACAATAATGGCATTTGATATCTCACGTCTTAAGTAGTCAAGAGACGGGCAGCTCTAGGGTTGGATAAATTGGCAACACAATGATGGCATCTCTAACCCGGGTACCTCCTGTGGTTCCTCTATGCCATCCTCAGGGTGTTGACATCATGCTCAGCCTTGTCCCCTTGTGGTTGCAAGATAGCTGCTCTACCCTCTCACAACCCCATTCAAAGGTAAAGATGAAACTTTCTTCTTGCACATTCACTTTTATCATGGAGGCAACTCTCTCCTCAAAATCCTCCAGCCCTTTGTTTTTAAGGCCTCTTCCTTTTTCTGTAACTTGTTCCTCTTCTTCTTCTCCCATTTCCTCTCTTCCAAGGTTTGCTTCTCTGCTCTATGTCTTGTCTCATTTTTCCCGTCATTCCTCTTTCTTGAAATCCTTCATACCTCTCCTGAGGTATGGCCTCTTAGACTTATTTTGGGACCTGATACCATTGCTCCATATCTCTGCCTCATCACCTTGGACCAGATGACCCCACAGTCCTTTCATTAGACGCTACCTTAAAAACAGCTACTGGAGGCCAGGCACAGTGGCTCACACCTGTAATCCCAGCACTTTGGGAGGTCAAGGCAGTCGGATTGCCTGAGGTCAGGAGTTGGAGACTGGCCTGGCTAACATGGTGAAAACCCGTCTCTATTAAAAATACAAAAATTAGTCGGGTGTGGTGACATACGCCTGTAGTCCCAGCTACTTAGGAGGCTGAGTCAGGAGACTCACTTCAACCTGGGAAGCAGAGGTTGCAGTGAACTGAGATGGCACGACTGCACTCCAGCATGGGCAACAGAGTGAAACTCCGTCTCGAAAAAACAAAACAAAACAAAACAAAACAGCCACTGGAGCTGCTCTAATGATTTCTACCTGCCAATGTGGAAGATGTCCTAAGAAATATGGAGAAAAGTTAAAATGTGTGCAGAGAGCTGAGGGAAGCCTTCTAAGTGTCCCGGCAGGGCTTTGTGGCACCGCATGAAGAGTTTTCCTTTCTTTTCTTTTTTTTTGAGACAGAGTCTCACTCTGTCACCAGGCTGGAGTGCAGTGGCGCGATCTCGGCTCACTGTAACCTCCACTTCCTGAGTTCAAACAATTCTCCTGCCTCAGCCTCCCGAGTAGCTGGGATTACAGGCGTGTGCCATCACACCCAGCTAATTTTTGTATTTTTAGTAGAGACGGGGTTTCACCATGTTGGCCCTGTCTCTTATACACATCTAGATGTGTATAAGAGACAGCAATCCGACTGCCCACTTCGGCCTCCCAAAGTGCTGGGATTATAGGCGTGAGCCACTGCACCCGGCAGGTTTTTCCTTTCTATCTGCCTTCCTCGGCTGTGAGTTTCTTGCGGCAGGGAAACAGATCACTCATCCATTTGTCATGTTGTCGTGTATACTAGTTGCCTGATGTATACTAGTACTCAGAAAAATGTCTGATGAATGAATAAAATGTCTGGCTTTGCCACTTACTTTCTTCTTTTTTTTTTGTTTTGTTTTGTTTTGTTTTGTTTTGAGATGGAGTTTCTCTCTTGTCGCCCAGGCTGGAGTGCAGTGGCGCGATCTCAGCTCACTGCAATCTCTGCCTCTTGGGTTCAAGTGATTCTCCTGCTTCAGCCTCCCGAGTAGCTGAAATTACAGGCTTGCACCACCACACCCAGCTAAGTTTTGTATTTTTAGTAGAGATGGGGTTTCACCATGTTGGCCAGGCTAGTCTTGAACTGCTGACCTCGTGATCCACCTGCCTCAGCCTCCCAAAGTGCTGGGATTACAGGTGTGAGATGCCACACCTGGCTGTCACTTACTTTCTAACTGACTTTGAATATAATCCTTTTCTTCTCTAGTCCCATTTCAAAATCTATAAGATGAGGGGACTGGACTGCGTTTCAAGGGAGGCCTTTCAGCACTGAGTGAAATAAGTGGCCAAGGGATGGAGGATGGGCTGGCTGGGGTGAGGGTCTCTACTGTCTCCAGCAAAATGCTGTGCTGAGGTCTGAGGCAGAGGGATGAGCTCAGAGAGAGGGGCTGCCTGACCCTTCCGTCTAGGAACTGCCCAGGACTCCAGAAGAGGGGATGGAATTGATTTAGGTCAGTGGGGGGTTGAGCGGGGCTGGGAGGGGGTTGGGGTTGGGAGGCTTCAACCTGGGAGGCAGAGGTTGTAGTGAGCAGAGATCGCATCACTGCACGATACTTTCTATCTCCCTTCCTGGGCTGTGAGTTTCTCAGGGCAGGGAAACAAATCACTCATTCATCTGTCACGTTGTGATGTATATTAGTTACCTGATGTACACCAGTACTCAGAAAAATGTTCGACATTTTCATCATAGCATTGGCTATTAACCCTTTGAATCCCAGTGGCTCACTTGCTGGGTCCTATCCCTGACCCGCTAGCCTGGTGCTGGGGGGAGACCAATTTCTGGAGAAGCTCTGGGTACCCAGTCTTCCCCTAAGCCTGCCTCTGAACAGGCTGTTCTTGTTTATGACCCCCGTCCCAGAAGAACAGCGATTGCTCATCCCTGCATGTGATTCGAGAGGGCCAGTCTTTCAGGCCTGGAGGAAACTCAAGCCCCACCAGCCGCTTGGCATCGGAATGCTCAGCTGGTCCCCTCCTGGGGCTCATGTGACCAAGATCTAGCTATAAATATCAGAGGGGCCTCAGACCAAGACAGAATTCGGGCACCAGGAGAAGGAAGCCAACAGGATCCGACCTGGTGTTTCGTGACAAAGGCAAGACTCCCCAGGTCTACTTAGAGCAAAGTCAGTAGAGGAGGCAGCTAGGCGCGGCTCTCACTCCTGCCCACAGAATGGATTATAAGTCGAGCCTGATCCAGGATGGGAACCCCATGGAGAACCTGGAGAAGCAGCTGATCTGCCCTATCTGCCTGGAGATGTTTACCAAGCCAGTGGTCATCTTGCCGTGCCAGCACAACCTGTGCCGGAAGTGTGCCAATGACATCTTCCAGGTCAGTGCCGGGTGCAGCCTCATCCAGGGGTCCCAGGTGGCTACTCGGCTTCCTGAATGAAGCCCTTCTTCTCCCTTAGCCTTCTAACTCTTTTCCCTTGGAAGTGAACCCCTGCAGAGGCCTCTAGACAGGGCTGAGAGGGGATGGGAGGCAGCTCTGGCTGTTGCAGTTCTTCTCCATGACGCGTTTCCCCTCCCCACCCTGCCCACAGCTCCCCCACCCCTGCCCTGAGCACTGCTGTTGACTCTCCAATCAAGAGTCAAATGCCTCAAGTGATAAGCGGGGAAGGCAGGGACAGGAGAGAGAAACCAGACCCCTGGGGCTGGAGCCAGGTCCTGGTGGCAAGAGGCCCAGAGCTTTGGGAGGAGGGTGTCGGGGAGGCAGTGGGCAGTAGAGGCGTCTTCCCTTTCGAGGCTGTTCCCTACAATATGGGGACAGAAGGGGCTCCAAATCCCCAAGAAAGGAAGGGGGTAGGTGTCCTGGCTGGGAGGCAGGATGCGAGGTTCCCCAGGGACACTTTACAAAATGTTCTTTCACGATATTATCTTTAAAGTAGCAGCCTTAGGAGCTTGCTCTCATTGTAATACCCATTTCATAAGTGGGCAAACTGAGGCTTAGAGAGATAAGGTTGCTTGCCCAAAATCACTCAGAGAATTAACATGACTTGAAGCCAGGTCTCCTGCCTCCCCATCCTGATGATTGCTTAGCTGCATCTCACGTGCTCTGTATGTGAGGACTGGTTCTCATCGCAGCCTGCGGAGCTCCAGGTCATTAGGTTTGACTGGGGTGGTTGGGGCAGGCAGAGGAAAGAATAAGAGGAGATTAGAAAGGGGAAGGGCTGAGGAGGGAGCCCAGGCCTCACCTTGACCTTTGCCACCTGCAGGCTGCAAATCCCTACTGGACCGGCCGGGGCAGCTCGGTATCCATGTCTGGAGGCCGTTTCCGCTGCCCCACCTGCCGCCACGAGGTGATCATGGATCGTCACGGAGTGTACGGCCTGCAGAGGAACCTGCTGGTGGAGAACATCATTGACATCTACAAACAGGAGTGCTCCAGGTCGGTTCTCATGCCTGCTGGGGGCCCATCCTCCTTCTCAGCCATGCTGTACCCAGCTCCCCCAAGCTCCTTCCCCTTCCTTCATCTGCTCAGGATCCAGGCCTCTAGCTGGACTAGCTACACGAGCCAGTTCAGAGACAGGATTGGAGACCCATACACCCCAACTCGGTGCTCAGGATCACTCAGCGGATGGGAAGGAGTCCAGACATTAGGCTGCCCTTCCAGGCGATACCAAGACAGAGACTGGGGGAAAGATGAAATGTGAGAGGGAGAGAAAGGCCCTGGGGCCAGCTAAGTGGCTCCAGTCAGCAGAGAAAATGCCCAGTGAGAAACAGCCAGGTTGTCTATTAGGACAGCAACAGCTACTTTCCTGTGTGCCACGAGGAACTGTCAGGCACGGGGAATGCTTCATCTTAGTACCTTCCAATAACTCTATGAATCAGGCATGGCTTTATTATCCTCATTTCACAGGTGAGGAAACTGAGGCCCAAGAGGTGAAGTCAATTAGCTAAGGTTTTCCAGCTGGAAAGTGAAAGAGCTGGGAGCTGGCCCAGTTGATCTAGCTCTGAGTCTCCCTGCTAATAAAATAGCAGCTCATTCAGAGGCAGAATGTGTGACTGGTGGAGGTTGTGCAGGGTTAGCCTTAAACTGGGGAGAGAGGGCCAGGTGTGGTGGCTCATGCTCGTAATCCCAACACTCTGGGAGGCCAAGGTGGGATGATTGTTTGAGGCCAGGAGTTCAAGACCAGTCAGGGCAACATAGGGAGACCCTGTTTCTACAAAGGTTAAAAACTAGCTGGGCGTGGTGGGGCATGCCTGCAGTTCCAGCTCTTTAGGGGAATTGTTGAGCCAGGAAGGTCAAGGTTGCACAGCCATGATCGTGCTACTGCACTCCAGCCTGGGTGACAGAGTGAGACTATGCCTCAAACAAACAGACAAAAAAACTGGGAGGCCAGGCGCGGTGGCTCATGCCTGTAACCCCAGCACTTTGGGAGGCCAAGGTGGGTGGATCACTTGAGGTCAGGAGTTGGAGACCAGCCTGGCCAACATGGTGAAATCCCATCTCTACTAAAAATACAAAAATTAGCCGGTCGTGGTGGCGCATGCCTGTCATCCCAGCTACTTAGGAGGCTGAGGCAGGAGAATTGCTTGAACCAGGGAGACAGAGGTTGCAGTGAGCAGAGATCGTGCCACTATACTCCAGCCTGGGTGACAGAGTGAGACTCCATTTAAACACACACACACACACACACACACCCCCCACAAAAATTTGGGAGAGACACAGCTACAGGAAAGATCTTTACAAACCAGGACATCCTGGTAAGACTCCAGGAGTGCTGACCTCACAGCCTTTAAGGTCTAAAACCTTCACCAAGCATCTGCCTGCAAGCGCTGCCCAGTCCAAGGGAAGGTGACAGACCAGATCTCAGGTAAAAAAACCCTGGCCTGGGGAACTGTGCTTGCTAGTCAGCCTCTGTGACAGATGTACTGTACCATCTTGGGTAAGCCTTTAGAGTTTCATTTCCTCTGTCTGCAAACAGAAACAGTAAGATCTGTTATTGTGGCTGTCAAATAAGATATTAATGGAAAATGATTAATATATCAACTATTTATTGGGTACCTACTATGTGCAGGCGCTGTATGAAGTACTTCCAGGCATTTTCCCTATCTATTTCTTATAGTAACCCGGGAAGGCATTCCTGTCTCCATTTTACCATGAGGAAATTGAAGCTCAGAGAGGACAAGGGATTTTTCCAAGACCACACAGCTAGCAAGTGGTAGAGCTAAGAAAGAGAGGGTGTGGGAATTTTCTTTTTTTTTTTTTTGAGGCAGAGTCTTGCCCTGTCGCCTAGGCTAGAGAGCAGTGGTGCGATCTTGGCTCACTGCAATCTCTGCCTCCTGGGGTCAAGCGATTCCCCTGCCTCAGCTTCCTGTGTAGCAGGGACTACAGGCATGTGACAACGTGCCCAGCTAAGTTTTGTGTTTTAGTAGAGACAGGGTTTCACCACGTTGGCCAGGCTGGTCTCAAACTCCTGACCTCAGGTGATCTGCCCGCCTTGGCCTCCCAAAGTACTGGGATTACAGACATGTACCACCATACCCAGCTAATTTTTGTATTTTTTGTAGAGACAGGATTTCACCACGTTGGCCAGGCTGGTCTTGAACTTCTGACCTCAGGTGATCCACCCGCCTTGGCCTCCCAAAGTGCTGGCATTACAGGCGTGGGCCACCATGCCCGGCTGGCCAGTGAATATTCTTAATTACTGTGCTAGATTGCTTCTCATGTTGCTAGAGCGCAACACTACAAAATGCAAACATATTGTTGATCATAAGGAATAATAAAATCAATTCCACACCAATGTTAGCCCACCCAGTGCCGACCTATGAAGAGCGTGTTGTGTGTGAACCTTTGAGGCCTTTCCGCATAGTTGAATGGCAACGACAGCTGCCCTCTATTGAGGGTCTGCTCTGTGCCGGGCACTCCACATTCATTACAGACAATTTCTACCATGATCGCAGTAGCTCTGGGAGGAATCCCAGGCAAGAGAGTGAAATCACTTGTCCAGAATCACAAAAATGAATGTGGCAGAACAATCTGGATATGAACCCCGACGCCAAAGTCGAAGCTTGAGAGGGTGGGCATCTGGGAGGAACCAGACCCTCAGGCTCTTGCCTCACCTCTGCATTCCCTGCCATCCCTTTATAAGGGGATGGAGGCAGGTGGCAATGGCAGACCCCTGCCAGCATAAGGACCCTGGGGTAAAAGATGCAAAAAGACAAGCCTGGAAAGGGGTTTATTTAAGAACTTAAGAGGACAGTAGAGCCCAGTGTGCGATCAGTCATGTAAGGCTGTTTGGAGGTGAGGCATTGACACTGATGGGGACAGTCACCATTTGACATTTGCAAGATGCCTGTTCTGTTTGGGGCTGGGAATCGAAGGTAGTGTTGGCTCTCAATGAGTGTATAGTCTAGCTGGAGACAGAAGACTAAAAAAATCGAATCTACACCAGGCATAGTGGTATGCACCAGTTGCAGCTACTGGGGAGGCTGAGGCAGGAGGATTGCTCAGCCCAGGAGTTCAAGGCTGCAGTGTGTCTGTGAATTGCTGCTGCACTCCAGCCTGGACAATACGGTGAGACCCTGTCTCAAAAAAAAAAAAAAAAAAACTGGTGCAGGGGATCATGCCTGTAATCCCAGCACTTTGGGAGGCTAAGGTGGAAGGATCATGTGAGGCCAGGAGTTCGAGACTAGCCTGGCCAACATGGTAAAACCCCATCTTTACTAAAAATACAAAAATTAGCTGGGCATGGTGGTGCACGTCTGTAATCTCAGCTATTCAGAAGGCTGAGGTGTGAGAATTGCTTGAATCCAGGAGGCAGAGGTTTCAGTGAGCTGAGATCATACCACTGCACTCCAGCCTGGGCAAAAAATCAAAAGAAAACAACAACAAAAAAATCCCCCCCAAACCCCAATGAATCTAGGTTAGGAAATGACTGATGTCCCAAGAGAAGCACAAATAACAGGTTGGAAGGTCTCAAGAAAGAAAGGTAGTTCTAAGCATATATGTTACAGGAGAAAGTAAAGGAAGACACTTGGGCCCTTGGAAGAATCTCTGGACTAGAAGTTAGGCTTGTGCTGGGCTGTTGGACAGCCCTGGGCTACCCACTCACCAGTCACCATGACATGGGGCATACACACTGCTCCTTCTCTGAGCCTCAGGGGCAACCTCATGACTCAGAGTGTCGGAGGTTTATCCAAGGCCACACAGCTAGAAAGTGATGAAGCTAAGAGAAAGAGAGGGTATGACTGACTCTGTGGTGAATATTCTTTTTTTAAAAAAATTTTCTTTATGGAGAATCTTAAGAAATTCAAGATGGTGAATATTATTGATTCCTATGCTAGTTATTGATTTATTCTTTCTTTTCTTTTCTTTGAGACGGAGTTTTGCTCTTGTTGCCCAGGCTGGAGTGCAATGGTGCGATCTTGGCTCACCGCAACTTCTGCCTCCTGGGTTCAAGTGATTCTCCTGCCTCAGCCTCCCGAGCAGCTGGTATTACAGGTGCACGCCACCATGCCCAGTTAATTTTTTGTATTTTTAGTAGAGACACGGTTTCATCATATTGGTCAGGCTGGTCTCAAACTCCTGACTTCAGGTGATTCTCCCACCTCGGCCTCCCAAAGTGCTGGGATTACAGACGTGAGCCACTGCGCCCAGCCTTATTGATTTATTCTTTCTACCTTTGTTTAATTACCACCTCCTCTATGCCAGGCACTGTACAGTGTAGGCTCAGGAGTGAAGAAAACAAGCAAGTTTCCCTGCCTTGATGGAGGTTACAGTCTGGTGGATTAAATATAGAATTAAATGAGGCCATCAGTATAAATTTCTTAGCTCAGAGCCCAGTCTGCAGTAACCAAAGCTAAGGTGACTATAATTAGAGCAACCGAACTCTAACCTCCTCTGCCCTTACTTGCTGTGTGACCTTGCACGAGTCAGTTCACTTTTCTGGAGCCCAGTTTCCTCTTCTTTAAAACATCTCCAGGTCTGACTCTCTGGAATTCTATGGCCCTTTCTGTGTCCTTTGCAGTGGCAGAGCCTCAGGCTAACTCCATCTTAGGATGTGGGGACAGATTTGGTGTCATTGGCTTCCCAAGTCCTTGATCCCCAGAGGATGAAAAGATTTTAGGGCAACCAAACACTGAGAGCCCAGGGCATAAATCTGGAGATTCACAGACACACTGCAGCCTTGAACTCCTGGGCTGAGCAATCCGCCTGCCTCAACCTCCCCAGTAACTGCGACTGGTGCATTGGAGCTGGGGAGGGGGATGCAGGACACAGGACTCCCATGACTTGTAACTGTTCTCCACTGCAGTCGGCCGCTGCAGAAGGGCAGTAACCCCATGTGCAAGGAGCACGAAGATGAGAAAATCAACATCTACTGTCTCACGTGTGAGGTGCCCACCTGCTCCATGTGCAAGGTGTTTGGGGTTCACAAGGCCTGCGAGGTGGCCCCATTGCAGAGTGTCTTCCAGGGACAAAAGGTACTGGCTCCAGCCACTTTTACCCCCAGCCTGGGCCTGCTGGGCAGGATGATTCAGGAGGCAGATTTGATCCCTGTAGATCTGCTGATCCGGCCTTTCAGGAATAGTCCCTCTGGAGGGACTTCCCAGGCCACAGGGACAGCAGCCCTGGCCCTCCTTGGGGGAGGAAGCTGAGCTCATGGTTATACTTAGAGCCACTCGAGAGCACCTGGCTGTGGCCAGAGGGGAGCGGTCAGACGCCCCAGCCAGGCCACTGGGGTCCTCTCGGGCCACGGCTTCTCCATCCCCCAGACACCTCTTCCTGTGCCTCTCACCTCTTCTCCTAGACTTCGCATTCCCCAGCAGCAGGAGGCAGCTTAGAGCCTTTTCGCTGGGGCCCTGGGCCTGTGGGGGCCTGCCACCCTGTCCGTGCAGTCAGCAGTAGCCACCCCCTTTCCATACTCTCTCTTCCCCACTCCGCACTCTTCTCCAGGTCTCTGTCTTCTAGACGTCTCCAACTCTATTTCTTTTTTTTTCCCCTTCTTTCTTAGAAGCAAGCCCCTCCTCTGCCAGTTCCTTGCTGTGTGTTTTGGGCAGCCCACTCGCCTGCTGTTGGCCTCATCTGTTAAATAAGGGATACAGTATCTTTCTAATATCCTCTGCTCTGAAGCTGAGCAGTACCCGAAAGAGGGGCCAGATCCCTGCTGGAGGCTCTTTCTAGCACAGAGGGGAGGGAGGGAGCCAGGTTGCTGCCATGCCTCGGTGGGTAGGCCTTGAGGCTATTTGTATCTCTCCTCTCCTGACCCCCACACCCCCATCTAGATTGAACTGAATAACTGTATCTCCATGCTGGTGGCGGGGAATGACCGTGTGCAGACCATCATCACTCAGCTGGAGGACTCCTGTCGAGTGACCAAGGTGAGGGGACAGAATAGTTCTGCCTGGGGGTTTGGAGCTTTCCAGGGCAGCCTGGTCTCTGGGGAAGGCTCACCCATGGGTTGTGGCTAAAGGTTGGGGCCTGGAGTCTGGGGGTCAAGCAGGAATGGCAGGGGAGGGACTAATCCATTCACCCACTCTCTCAGCAAATGCTTCTTAAGCACAGCTGTGTGTCCAGCCCCACCCGAGATGTGGGGGATGGAGGAATGAACCAGACAGACATGGTCCCTGAACTCAGGGAGTGTCCCATCAATAGTTCTCAGTGTTTATTCAGCACAAATCGTTTTCAGAGAACAGTTCTTTCCTATAGACCAACACTTCCCAAACTTTAAAGTGCATGAAAATCACCCTGGGATCATGTTGAAATTCAGGTTCTGATTCAGTCAGTTTGGAATGAGGCATAAGAGCTGCATTTCTAGCCAGTTCCCAGGATTTGCCCAAGCTGCTGGGTCCACGGACCACACTTTGAGTAGTGTTGAGGGCAGAATGGAACTTTTCTATCCCTGAAAAAAGCTTCCATGATTTTCCATGTTCACCTGGGGTAGGGACCTGGAGATGAGATGAGGGGAAGGGGTCGTCATAATTGCTAGTGGACCAAGAGTCGGGCGAAGGGTAGGAAGGAGGGGAACATTCTGATCACCCATGAACCCATGAGAGGCTCCTGGGTCTGATGAGATGCTATTGTCACACCCATTTTACAGAAAAGAACATAGAAGGGAGCGTCAGTTGAGGAGGGTGCTAGGAAACGAGCTGTTTTTCCACCTCTCCTAGGACCAAATGATGCAGAGCTTCCTGAATCCAGTCTTGGTCTTGAAAGGGAGGGAAGAGTGTGATCTGAGACAAACGGGAGGCCCGGGAAACTGAATGGAAGCAAATACATTAATTTGCTGAAAGTCACAAAGCTAAAAGGGAAACACAGCTAAAAGGCAACGGAGAGCTGGGCGCAGTGCTCATGCCTGTAATCCCAGCACTTTGGGAGGCCAAGGTGGGGGGACCATGAGGTCAGGAGATCGAGACCATCCTGGCCAACATGGTGAAACCCCATCTCTACTAAAAAATACAAAAATTAGCCGGGCGTGGTGGCGCACCTGTAATCCCAGCTACTCAGAAGGCTGAGGCAGGAGAATCACTTGAACCTGGGAGGTGGAGGTTGCAGTGAGCCAAGATCGCACCACTGCACTCCAGCCTGGGTGACAGAGCAAGACTCCATCTCAAAAAAAAAAAAAAAAAAAAAGAGAAAGAGAGGGCAGATCCCACGTTGGTGACTGTTGCATTGGTCTGAGAAGTGATGCTCCAGTGACCAGCTGAGGTTGGGGGACAGGGGGAGGGTGCAGGAACAAGGAAGAATATGTAATGTCATGTGACCCTAGAGCCTCTATTTTGGAAGAAGGGGCTAGCTGTTTTTCAAGGCATCAGCCTCCAAATATCACTGGTGTACTAAGTAGCTGTGAGGCCAGATGAGTGTTTTCTTCTTGTTAAGCCTCTGTTTCATCTTCTGTAGTGTGGGGATGTATGTAGTGAGATCTCTTCTAGCTTTAGATTCCTTGCTACTGTACCAGGAAGGGAGTGTAGCGGACAGGGAGTAAGGACCCTACAGAATGTGACTCCAAGACTTCCGTCCTCAGGAGAACAGTCACCAGGTAAAGGAAGAGCTGAGCCAGAAATTTGACACGCTGTATGCCATCCTGGATGAGAAGAAAAGTGAGTTGCTGCAGCGGATCACACAGGAGCAGGAGGAAAAGCTCAGCTTCATCGAGGCCCTCATCCAGCAGTACCAGGAACAGCTGGACAAGTCCACAAAGCTGGTGGAGACGGCCATCCAGTCCCTGGACGAGCCTGGGGGAGCCACCTTCCTCTTGGTGAGCAGGACTAGAAGGGTCTGGGTGGGGTCAGTTCAACTCGACAGCTCTAAGGTTCCAGTTATGCTTCTCCACTGACCACCTATGGACCCTTGGAAAAGTCATTTAAACCTCTGTGAGCCTCAGTTTCCTCATCTGTCAAATGGGCATGTAACACCCCCCACCTTCCTCTTACTGATTTTATGATGATCAAATAAGAGGATATTTATGAAATGACTTTGTAAGCTGCAAAATACAGTGTCCCATCTACGGACTATTAATTGAGCCCCTACTGTAGGCCAGGCACTGAGGTGGAAGACAAGGAGATAAACCAGACACAGCCCTGCCCTCAAAGAGCTTGTTGGGGAGGACAGAAAAGCCTCAGTTATAAGACTTCATAGTTCAGTTCAATAAAAATGTTCTAGGCTTCTCCTGTGGGCCAGGCTTTGTGCTAGACATTAGGTATGAAAAGGTGGTTAGGATTGGGGAGTTCAGGGTTTAGGAGTTTTTGGATTGATACCCCTAGAATCCAAGCTTCCTGTCAAGACAATGGGTCCTAGGGTGATGACCAAGACCTGTACAGACCACAGACAGAGGGAAAAGTTCCAAATTCTGCTCAGTTTGGGGTGGGGAGCAGGTCACAACTGTGCTAGGGAATGGCACCAAATGTCCAGTCACTGGTTTTGCTGATTTCCTCGGGTTACCTCTTCTGCAGTCCTAATCCTTTGTTCTATCTCCCCCTGCAGACTGCCAAGCAACTCATCAAAAGGTCAGTGTCTCCCCAGAGGCTATGATCCAGGCCCCTAGTTCCCACCAGGACCTCTGTCCAGGAAGCCTGGGCATTAGGTCTGCTGGGAGGGTCTAACTGTAGGCTGACTTCCCTGACCCTTTGCATCCCTGACTTTTTGGACCACTCACTGTGCTTAAGATTGGAGAGGAAATACTCCATCCCTCCAGGGGAGCCTCTGGGTAGAAGCCCTGGGTGTGGGCAAGGCATGTGCCCTCTCCTTCCTGCACTGAGCCCCAGAGATCTCATCCTGCCTCTTTCTCTGTCTCCCCCACAGCATTGTGGAAGCTTCCAAGGGCTGCCAGCTGGGGAAGACAGAGCAGGGCTTTGAGAACATGGACTTCTTTACTTTGAATTTAGAGCACATAGCAGATGCCCTGAGAGCCATCGACTTTGGAACAGGTAAAGGAGGTGGTGGTGCCACTTGTCTGTTCGCCTGCCTGATCCCTGGAAACCAGCATCCCTCCCACTGAGCCCCATGGGGAGGCAGATACACTAATAAAGATCCCCAGGTATCAATCAAATTCATATAGCCACCTTCTGGCCGGCTGTGGTGGCTCATTCCTGTAATCCCAGCACTTTGGGAGGCCAAGGTGGGCGGATCACTTGAGGTCAGGAGTTTGAGACTAGCCTGACCAACACAGTGAAACCTCGTCTCTACTAAAAATACAAAAATTAGCCAGACGTGGTGGCACATGCCTGTAATTCCAGCTACTTGGGAAGCTGAGGAAGGAGAATCGGTTGAATCCAGGAAGCAGTGGTTGCAGTGAGCCAAGATCGTGCCACTGCACTCCAGCCTGGGCAACAGAGCCAGCCAGACTCCGTCT